AGAGAATTGCAACGAATTCGAAACCTTTTTAGGTTCCGTACGATGTACGAAACCCTTTCTTCGTTCAAAGTATCTTTTTTGGTTCGGTATGGTACCATTTTTTTTCAGTGTGGTACTCTGTATCACCGTTGCCGGTGAATGATTTTTACACTTTTGTTTTTGACCCCATGTACGACCATATGTAACAGTACACACAACTAAACCGTCTGATGAGACTCATAAGCTAGGTCAACATCACGATCGTGTGGTACTTTCAATTTCTCTTTTTATTTATTACAGTTAACACTATTTCTGAAAATATAAATTCGCAACGTTTAAATGTTCTCAAAGATATTAATACCAATGATATTTCTACATAGCCATACTATTAAAATTTCATGTGACATAGCCCCACTAAGTCAGACACAACCGTTGTCGTGGATCGGCGATTATTCTAAATCACACCCACTTGTATTTATAAATCTTTGATATTTATCTGAAAAAAATTTTTCACTTTAACAATAGATATTGACTTCTATATTTGACTAAAAATATAGTTTAAAGTTAATTCTATTTAGAAAAATTTTAATGTGCAAAAGTTTAAAAATATATTAATTATTGTATCTATATTGGTAATTTATATGTTCTACATCATTTGAGAATTACAATCTCTACATAGATATAATATTCAGTTACCACCTGAGGCGTCCTGCCCAGACAGAAACAACCATTGTCGCGGACCGCCGATTATTCTAAATTATACCCACACTCTTTGTCTTAATCTCTTTATTAATCGGAAGATTTTCGACTTATACACCAGTCGAATTCTGAAGATACCTGACGACTCCCTTGAGAAAGGACCAAACCGGGCCTGTCGACCCTTTGAATTCTATAATTTTTATTTCTCTTCTTGTAAGAGTACATTGTAAACATACCTAATGATAGACCCTTCAACAAGCTCAAAAAGGCGTCACGTGATTCTTTCAATGTTGAAAATCTTTAATAATAGAATGTTATGTCTACTATTAGATTTGAGAGTTCTTACAAACTCTTGACTAGAGTTACATATAATAAAAAAAATAATTTCATATTCTATCAAATCATCAGTAATTGATAAGATTATCTTAGCGGTTATCGAAACGTATCTTGCTAGCTTTTGATTATTAGATTATTATTACTATATAATCACACCCACACTCATACCCACACCCTTCACATTGAAATTCTTTAGTGCTAATTGCCATCTGTTGAGTCCCTTTGCCCGGACGAAACACGTGTCATGGCAGCTTATCCACCCACACCCACACCCACACCCACCCTGTCATGCTTTGATTTGAATTTAATTATTCAGATGTCTTAAGCTCATGTCTCTGCCACTTGATAAGATTTTGAGACAGTAACATCGAAATAATCTACTAGATTATTGTGGTAGCTTTATCACACCCATTCTAGTTCGGGTTTTCTACTTTTTTTTATATACCTTGTAGAATTTAGGTGTCATGCTTTGATTTGAATTTAATTATTCAGATCTCTTAAGCTGATGTCTCTGCCACTTGATAAGATTTTGAGACAGTAACATCGAAATAATCTACTAGATTATTGTTGTAGCTTTATCACACCCACACCCACACTCACACCCACCCCACACCTACACGCCTTCAAAATAATTCATTTTTTTCAGTATTTTAACTGAGATCTTAAATTTAGTCAGGGTAGGCTAAGGTTATTTTAACATGATATTAATGACGACTCAGTCCGAATCTGAAATCCATTGGGTGCAGGTGTGAGTGTGCATCTGCTCTATTCCCGAAACCACACCCAGATCCTCTTTTGAAACATTTTTTAACAGATAGAAATTGTTAATGAAATTTCTAATTGAAAGTAAACAATGAATATTTTTTTTGTTAGTTTTATAAGTTTAAATTGAATGTGGATACGGATGCATTTATTCTTTTCGTCAACATTGATCCACTTTGTTTTTCAAAACAATGTTGACTGCTTAGTCATTCAACTTCAATTTGAAGTCGATCCAACTTGACTTTTTTGTCTTCATAACTTGTTAGTTACTCTTTGGACAAGGTATATGAAGTTTTACTATATATTTCATTGAATGTGATAGTACGATTGAACCACGTAATACACGATAGGAAGACGAAATTCGGCATTTTACTAGTGTGCTTATTTGATCTTGATCATCGTAGAAGCATGTGAAATCTGCAATGTACCGATTAGTCATTCAGTTTACCTTACAGTATGCAAAAAATAAATTTCATTTGAAACTTCTTTCTGCGTTAAATGGCAACAGAAAGCAAATGGTATGAATCATCATTGCATTCCCGTCAAGAATGTCGTCGCTGATGAAAAAAGAAAATAATATAAACTTTTTTATTCTTCTTTTCTCTGAGAACTTGCATCTCTATTGGATGACTGGCATGCTGACAGAATATATTTACGTTTTTTTCCATTTGAGAGTTAAGCGCTCTCTGTTCTTCATGATAGAAAAAAAAAGAACTATAGAACGATGAAAAACAACAAACAAAATATTCTATAATAATAATCATCGCGCGACCGTCTCCTTAGGTGAGAATACAACAAAAATTTTATGTCGTACAAAATAAGTTCTACATTAGTCCTTAATGGTATTGAGAAATTATTTTGTGGACATGGTGGTTGGGGTACAATTTGCCATGCTGCTCATTTAACTGGTAATCGTATGAAGCTAATTAATAATGCTCTGCCTACGATTGAGTGTCTTCTCAAACGACATCCACGTATGCGTTCTCGTCTACGCGTTGAAGATAATGACTACTTTCTCGATACTCTCGAATACATTACAGAATATCTATCGAATTATTTATTCTTTTCGACGATGGATTCCAATGAAGATTCATGGCAAAATATTTGTGAACGTAAATGTAATGAAGATCCATATTCGAATGATGGTACAATAATCTTTCCACTTTTTCATTTCATCCTACTATTTAATTCACAATCATTGGAGAGCGATGATCGCTTTCATTTGCTACTCTTTACAAATCATTGTGCCTTCGATGGTCGAAGTGGATTTGTTCTTATGAATGATTTCTTAACTTTGGCAACATCATCAGATTTAAATCCCATATCTGAACCACTCAATCTTGATATTCTTCCATTGATAAGCGATTTAATTCCTCGACCATTTGGTCCTCTTTATCCAATTTTATTCTTTCTTGCTAAACGTGTCATTAAACATGAATTTAGAAAATTAACTCGACCACGAATTCCAATCACACTTTATCGAATGGCCGATAGTCAATCGAATAAATTTCATGTACCACGATACTACACAAAATTTCTCTTTTCTTCAAGCTCTGTCAATCTCTATGATAGTCTACACAAGCAATGCCGATTGCATGAACTCACATTAAATGGTCCACTGTGTGCGTGTCTCTTATTAGCTATTCATCATTGCTTTCCACTGGAAGATGATACTCGATTGAAACCATTTTCGATTGGTATTGTTTTCGATATGCGTTCACGTCTAACTAGATCACCCTTAACAAAGACATCTGTTGGACTCTTTATTGGCGCTAGCGATATAGAACTTCGTCGATCACTTTCGATACGATCTACTCGATTTTGGTCTTTAGCGAAGAAATGTATGATAAACACTCGAAATCAATTGAAACGCAACGGTGTTCCATTGGCTATGAATATTTTCACTAACTTTGGCAGAAATGAGGAAAGTTTTGAGCAATTTACTCGAAATTTTCCTGATGGACGTTACTCGGAATTAGCCTTCTCGAACGTTGGAAAATATCCATTTTCGTGTGATTACAATAAAGGAGATATTCACTTGCATGCTTTACATGTAATAAGCAATAACAGTGTATATCGTACATCGACAGTGGTATTTGTTACATGTGCTGGTGATGGCCAGTTGGATATTTCCATGTCTCATGAAATGGATAGTGACGAAAGAGCTAAACAATTTCTCAACTTCTATATACGTCTCATCGAAATATGTGCCAATGAAAAACTTTGTCATGAAGAAACAACACTCGCTGACATTTTGCAATCTGCTCAGTAGTAAATAGAGTGCTGCACGGGTGCACTTTTTTTCACCCGAAACCGGACCAGAACTTTTTTTTCGTACCCGAGTCCGAACCGACCCGACAACTCTGTACCCGGATCCGAACCGAACCCGAATGACTCCACCCGGTACCAGACCGGCAGCTATTTATAAATATAACATACCCGGCTACCATTTTCACGTACAATCAATTTCAAACTTTATTTCATATGAAAAAAAATATACAATTTACTTTAATAAATAAACGACAAAAACCCTCATCTGAAATTGCGTAAAAAAGCAAGTGAATCAAGTGATTCAGAACTTAAGGCCCTCGCCCCCTCCTCAAAAACCAATCTCAGCTCTGGAACATCAAGATGCCATGAAACTTTGAGGATATGTTGGGGATATAAAAAGGCGTCGATGGTAAAATTTTCAGCCTCCTATCTTGATGTGCAAGATAGATGCGAACCAAACAAGGGTTAAAAAATAGCTTATCGCTCCTCAAAAAAATCTCTATGGGTGCTCATTCAATATGGTTGCTTTTTTTTCATATGAAAGAGCATGTCACGAGACAGTGCCTATGAGGGCTCTTTCTTTTATTCTTATCTTTATGGAGAAAAAAAAGGCTTCACAAGTTCATTCACTCAAAAACTCTTCAAAAAAATGGTACTTATATAGTAAAATTACTTATCAATATAAAAATAGCAAAGCTTTATCAAAAAAAGGGCTCGAATAGGCACTGCAGTTTTTGATGCTCTTTCAAACAAAAAAAGAACATTTGAGTTTATATCGCATTATAGTTGACTTTTGCTGGAGATGCGTCGTTCGACTACCATTTTGAGAAAAGAGAAAAAGATTTTTGGATTTTTTCAAAAACCGCTGTGTTTTTGAATAGAGGTTGTCAAAAATCTTGAAAATTTTTCGGAAAAAAGAAGGTATCGAAGAAAAATTTTTATCGTTCATGAAAGAGCAAATGACAGGCTATCTCCATATGTATTTATCTTAATTTCATTGATTCTGACAAAATGTGACTTTTTTTTTAAGGAAACCTCAATTCGTACGGACGTAAACCATAAGCACAAAATGTAGCACATGCTTCAGTAAATACATTCTTCACACCAGCTAATACATTACTATTATTATCTCTGTTCATCATAACGGTAATGTCTTGATTTTCGTTTGAACTAGGAGAACCAACACCAAGATAACTTTCAGCATGTGCTTAATGAGTACTAGAACCAGTTTTAGATGATTCATAAGCGAAAATTGATAAATATTTAACACATTGTACAAATGGAATAATATTCTCTTTATCATCTTTTCTTTGAACAAATGTGTTCCACCACTATGCTGTTGCTGATTTAGAACATGTGTTAAAAATACCTTGTCCAATTTTTTTTAACATTTGCTTTTTCTCTTTTAGAAGTATTCATATTGACAATATTTAAAATCAAAACCAATTAAAAAAATAATTTTAAATATCTTAAATCTTGAAAAATAACAAAACAAAAGCTTTCTTTTCGTTTCTACGATTTACTCTTTGATGAAAGTGATGATCCAATCGACTTTAATTCTTATCCCAATATCTCGACAATAGTAAATATCAGTTTGAAATAGTAAAAATATTTGGAAAAGTTGAGATGTCATTAATTACCGGTTCGGGTCCGGGTTTTGTCTCACACTTGGACCCGGACCGAAATTTTTTTTTCTACCTGGCACCCGAACCGACCCGAAAAATTTTACCCGAACCCATGGTCCGGTTCGGTTCGGTTTCGGGTACCCGACCGGGTTGCAGTACTCTAGTAGTAAAACAGGTCATATTAATAGATCACAAGTGGGCACTTTGTGCAATAAAGTGAAGATTCGATTGTTGCACACTTAGTGTATAAGTATTAATTGTTCGTCACTGAACTCAGCTGATTGTCAGTAGAAATTCTACCAGGATGACAAATCTAGTTACCAGAGACCGGCGGGACACAGATGTCGGTGAAGAGAAGACCCACACCCGCACCCTATACCCACTCACACCCTTGCAGTTCTAGTAGTTTACAATAATTGTTCTTAACTGTATATCTTTCGTATTTTGAATAACTTTTCCAGTTTTTATAAAGAAAAAATAGATAGTCTTTTTAGTTGAATTATTCAAGATTTGATCTTATTTGAGAAAATAAACCATATATATATATATGTATCTTATTGTATTATGTTAATTTTTCTTTGCATTGATTCTCGTATCACATGTACTTGATATCGAATTAATCGATAGATCATTTCGATCAATTCCATAATTGACAAAAAACTAATACCAATCCATAGTCCTGTTCGACCTCCAATATTTGAAATAACATTAACTAAACCGAGTGTTGATGCTTGTGTATTTGTTTCGACAATACTTGTTTCACGTAGAATATTTATAGTAAGATAATTTTCATAAATATGTTGACGCCATTTTGTTGACCAATTATTCGGTAATGGTACGGAAGAATTTTCGACAAAATTTTTAATCGTATCTATTTTCGAATCGATATATGACTGATGATGATGTTTGAAGAACAAAACTACTTGTTGAACATTCTTGTGAACAATCTGAACAATACTTTTCCACAAGTGATGCAGAAGCAAAAAGTCTCTTGGATGCTTTGTCAAAACAGCTATCCCATGTATAACAAGCAGGTGCAAATATTATATTATCTGTGCCTGGTAGAACAATCTGACGTATATACCATAGATATGGATTAACACAACCACATTGTTCATAACTTAAAATAATTAGAACGATTGATTTCATATTTATATTTATTCTCTATGGACGTACTTACATATAAGTTTGTTGACAAATTTGATAGCAATTACTTTGAGAATAAACATAATCTGCTGGATAATAATTATTATTGAACATAGCTTTCATTGAATCGGAAATTTTATTTGTACAATCAGTATAAGGTGAAGATAAAAAATTAATTATCTTTTTTCTGTAACTTAGTTTATATCTTCGTCCAGGTCCTAATTCGATACCACTCGTTTCAATCATTGGTACTTGTCTATTATCATGAATAAGAATTAATACACCAGCAGCTTTATAAATACAGTAAGATAATATGATTCGATGGATTTCAGTTTTGGTTACTTACCATCAGTCGAGTAGGGTACATATTGATAACTATGAATATAAAGACTTAAACTGAGTATACCAGCACCGCCATAAAAATTTCCAAATCGAAGACTATCATCTGTACTATTTTTCAATTTAGCATTAAATGTATAACATAGACCATAACTTGGTGATATAAATGAAATAAAATCAGTTGATGTACATGTTTCAAAATTATATGCACATTCTTGAAGCATTGTTGACAATGGAAAAAAGTAATCTTCTAATGATTGATTTTTATTAACTTGATCAATAAGAAAAAACCAAATAAATTTTGATTGATATTCAGATATTGTTGTTGTATCGTTTGTATTTGTTATATTTAGTGAATTTGTAAAATTCAAAAAAGGTTGAATGAATCGATCGAAACGAAGTGCTGCAATATTATAAAAACTAACTGCTGCAAAATATTGTTGCCAATTATTATCATAAGATACATCGATTGATGTTGGATAATCAAAATAATTTATTATTGATTTAACTATAAAATAGATCATTATACCAGTAAAAATTAGAAATGCAATCGACCAAAAAGCACAATTATGAAAACTTTCACTACGAGCAATTTCTGGTGGAGCATGTGTCGATGTATTCAAACAAAATTCACGAATAATAGAACGACGACGATGATGACGACGAACAGTTCGTTCTGATTCATGATTCATTGTTATGATATTAAGTGAAGTCCCTCTCGACGTGTCATTTATCATGTCCGACATAACACTTTGGTTTTCTAAATTAAATATCAAATCAAATATTCTTTATCTTCGTTTGTCTCATCCGACTTTTGTTTATTTTATTTACTTGTTTTTGCACAGGTACTATTTACTTACTGAATCAATAGGTGGTAAAAAAATTTTCTTTGATAAAATCACATTTAAAACTGATTATGTTTAATATCATCTATTCAAAAATTTCTATATTAGAGTCCAAAAGTATTTCCAATCATTGCATGTCAGTCTCTAATAGAGCTGATTTCCTCAAAGTAAGTATTCATAATAATTTACAGATTCTATTTTTTGCTTACAAACAAAAACAAAGTTTAATAAGACTCGTTTAATATTACTCTGTCAACATGACTAAATATCATCTTAAGTTCAGATCTTATTGCAAATTTCAATTAAAATGAGTTCAAGTCTTGGAAACAGACTTCAATTAACATATGATAGGACTTACTTATTAGAGTAGAAAATATTCGAAAAAAAAACTCTTGTTAATTAAAATTCTTCTTCCAATGGATTCAATGTGTTGACATCATTTCAATAAACGTTAAATGAGAAAAAATATGTGATGAGTTTTTTCTTAGTAAAAAAATATAAGAATAATAGAGAGAGCTTTTTATTGAAATGATATATACATAAATGTCTATAAAGTTCGACTGTTTTACCTGATTTGTTTCCGAAAATCTAAAAAAATATGTATCTAAAGACCAAAGATTCTAGTAGACGATGAGGTTTTTTATTGAATGAAATATAGAAGGTAGAACAAAAAATGCAAAAATTAATGACTAATATACATGAAAAATGTCATTGTTAACATCATTTGACATTTCCTTTTCTTCCATGATATCTTTTTTTTTTGAACTCCATTGTTTGCTGTTTGAAAAGCAGAATTACAATTAGAAAATGAGATGTCGAAAGAAAAAAAAATGTTTGTCTTTTTTTTGATGGATGCATGATTCTAGATTGTCATTGTTTAAAGACACATTGATAAAACATTCTTGTGTTAAAGCATATTTACAAATAAAGTTATTATTTTCTTTTTATAAAAATTTCTAAAAGAGCAATATCTTTCAATAATCTATGTGTTAACAAAGAAATAGGAAAAAATAGGACTAACAAGGAACAATAAGAAAATGAAAGGTTAATAAGAATTAATTTCAAATATAAAACTTCAAAATAATGAATTATATGAATATTTGAGAATAAATATTAAACATAGTTATAAAATGTCAAAAATATGACCATACGGAAGTAATTATTATTATTACTTTATTGTCATCTTTTTCTCAATCGTACTTATTTCAGCTATGATTCAACGCTCTTTTTTTGCGTTGCTAGTTTATTAGTTACATAACGTCGTTTCTCCCTTTATCATAATACTGTCCTTCATATTCTTTTCTTTCAGATTCATTCAAAATATTCTTGACAAAAAAAAACAGATTTAAAAAAAAAAAATTTTCTCTTCTTCGATTTATTTCTTCAACATAAGACGGCTCGTTAATTCATCAGTATTTTATTTACAGTAAAATGTCTCTATTTCATGTCAACACGTCGTTATAATGAAACATCTCTTCATTAAAAATTCTAAACGCTTTTTTTTTTAATTACTTGCACTTATTATATAGCTAAAATAACCTTCCTAATGTCAATGTTTTTCTTAATTTTCTACTTGCATTCGTAACAAGATCTCGTATACATATAAAAATAAAACTGATCTTTCTCTGTCTCTCTCGAGAGAAACATGTCAGAATCGATTCATGGTGAACAATTATAAATATAGTTGAATTTGTTCATATTTAGAAAATTTTAACTGTTGTCATCTTAAAGTGATTGAAGTTATTTGTTGAACTTTCTATCAATATTAATATGTAATACTCTTACTTTATTATTATGATATTGCCATGAGAAAAAAAACTAGGCATGTCGTTACAGGCATATTTGCAAAGGTGTACAAATCTTACGAGCAGATCACATCTGCAAGAAGTCAGCCAGTTTACAATTCTGCCCCATAGTGACTCAATGCATAAAAACAGTGCTCTTTCTATAGAATTAATGTATTAATACTGAATCTAGAATCAATATGGAAGTATTGATAATCATAATGATGTTCAACTCAAGTGCTTTCTTTCACGCGCTCATTTCTTCTCATTTCGTCACTATCTATGACAACTGTAAGCTCGGATACACCACATCTACGAGCAGAATCTATGGGCAGAATAGAGTCTGTCGATAGAGCATATTCATACGTAAAGTAGTCATCCACTTTTTCTCTTCGGATAGTCATAATTTACCTATTAGATATTACTAAGAGCTAAAAATTACACACCAGCAAGACGTGTAAAAGTTCTACAGAATCTTGCAAAGATCATTTTCCAAAACTTTTTTTCACATATATTTGCTATTTGCTTGAGGGTGTAGGTGCAGGTGTGCGTGCGGATGCGCGTTTGAGCCTTCTCTTTATCAACATCTACATCTACACCGACACCCACACTCTAGGTTTTTTCTCTTGACTCTCTCTAAGATACGCACGATTCATAACCCAGCAAATAAACTCATACTTGCAAAGTTTGCGTACATCCCTTCATTGTTTGCTAACATCACCCATATCTACTCTAGTATCGAACTGCTCATCGATCATTTCACTAACCGATTGTAAAACTTTTTGTGCTTGTGCTATATTATATTTTGATTGAATCTATTCATCAAAACAGCAACCAAGATTTTCTACCAAATAACTAAAAGAATTAGTTCTAGTTCATTTTACCTACCTTTTCCATTACGTACATTATTATCTAAGTCAGTTTTTTGCGCACTTGTAATAGTAGTCATTCTTTATTTCTCGAACGTGTTTCAGTCTTAAATCAATGTATATAGAGCTTTCTATTTTCTCTTACTACCTGCCTTTAACTATTTCTGTGAAAATTTATTATAATCATATACGGAGAAACTGACAGCGAAAGAGATCGTTATATTGACATATCAAATATTTTTTTAGTACACATATAAACAGAAAAAAAAGAATATTTTTGTTACAAACTCTGCTAGTTACTATTGAATTAGCAATTCAAAGAAAAATATCTATTGTTGGTTTTTTTTTTAAAATGGTAACCATTATTTTTTTAATAACTTTTGAACTTTTCAACCCATCGAGTTCGACTTTCCACCATTAGATGGAGCAACCTTAGGGCACCTATTTCTATGAGATTCATTTGGAACAAAGAAGTTTTTTATGGTAAATCTCTGATTGATAATTTTTTTTGTTGCCCATTTTCGTGATTTTTTTATAGAGACCTAGGATCAAATTATACTAAAATGTAGTCTGAACAAAAGGACCATCCAAAACTGACATACATAAATCTACCCATTTTGAAACATGTGAAAAAACATTCAGACTACATTTTAGTATAATTTGATCCTAGGTCTCTATAAAAACTCACGAAAATAGGCAATGAAAAATATATGAATTAGAGATCAGTCATAAAAAACTTCTTTATTCCTAATGGATGTCGCAAAAATGTGACTGAAATTATCTTTTTATCTATCAGTTAAATGTTTTATAATCTAAACAAAATTTATCGCATGAGTTAAGAAGTCCTTGTCGATCCGATAGTAGAATAAACAAAAAAAAGGAAAGAATGTATAAGTGCATAATTCTTGAAATATTTTACTACTTACTTTATCAAAAGCTTGTTTGGTAAAACCGTGTTTTTCAGTTCACTCAGCCATTAATCTTTTGTTTTCATTATATCACTGATTGTCTGAGACGAATATTTGAATACGAAACAAAACGAAATGCTGATAACAGCGAAAAACAAAATACTACATGTAACTGTATATTATTGTAAATAATAAAATAAGAGAAATGAAAAACACTATAACAAGACATTGTCAATAAAAAACATAACCTTTGTTGCCTTTCTGTTTTATGTGGATATATGCTTATATATATACACGTTTCACGTTTTATCCTTCGATTTCTGCATTTGCGCAAATTTTTATTATCTTCTACGCCACATCACATGACATTTTGCAAAAGAACAATTAATCTAGATAATATGAATAACATAAACTGGTTCGTTTGAATTATGATGAGAAAAAAACCACTTGACTAATGCTTTAATCCTGATTATAGTTTATTCATGAAAAAAAAGATACATAACAATAAAAGAGAACAAATCATTATACTATATAAGAAATCATATTTATTATGACACTGTATCATATTGATAACCTTATCAAGTCTTATTTTAGTTACATTCTATGTATTTTAGATCATAATTTCACATGCTCAACTAATAATATCACGATGACATTCGTACTCTTCTGGGAATTGCTGTAAATAAATAATGAAAAAGTTTGTCATAGATGAAATTCTATTTTTAAACATAGAGTATTGCCGGATTTACTCTTTCACCTATAACATCTCATTCTATACAAGGTCAACTTCTATTGGGCATTAGTTTTATAGTTGCAATAAAAAGTACACTTGGTGCAATAATTCAAACAGCTGTTCGTTTATTTTTTGCTGGTGCTATTGCTACTACATATTGTCTTTTCATTATTAATTTTTGTCCATGTAATGTTTATTATGGTATTGGTGCAACAAATGTTCTTGTTCTTCTTATTGTTTATACTGATTTATCAGTAACTGTTCGTCGTTTTTCAATAGTACCAACATGTATTATACTTTTACAATGACAATGGAATTGTTCAGATTACTTTTGTTTTATAGCCGTGTCTTTTCACATATGAATCTTTTCAAAAGTCGTATTGAGAAGTTTATTGTTTTGCCTCTTTTAATTCGTCCAATGGATCTTTTTTTACAATTAAGTTACCGAAATCTTGAAATATCTTTAACCGTTTCCAATCGAATGTTACTATTTGCCAATATTTATCCGATATTTCATGAATGGTTTAACTTGTGGTGACAATACGCCATTTTCTTGCAAATCGATAGTTACTTTAACAGATTTCAGCACACCCTCCTACTTCATAAGACAAAACATCCTTTCACTGATAAGATGACTGAATCCACCTACAATCTCCCAAGGTAGCAATTGAATTGTAAGCATTTTTTTCTCGTATGTCTGAACACTTATTATTCGACGCAATTAATGGTTAATTTTCTTTCGCAGACCTAACGTATATTGCATGAGTAAGATGGATTATTTAGAGCATATCAACAATAAAAAATAGGAATATTGCAGTTTGGTAGTTCACGGCAATAAAGGAACAAAAGTTTGTACAACCGCTTTTCATTCGGAATTGCCAAGTCAAGATATTCTGTCATATTCTCACGGCACTATGACGGGTGTCTCACGATAAATTGTACTAAATCTTAAGACATTTTTCTCTCGTTTCGTAATTATCCAAAAACGTTCTCTCTTTTGTCGAAAGATAGAGAATTTTATGCTCTACAAAAGTGACAATTTTGTTTTTTGAAACAAGTTTTCTTTGTCAATAGAAAATTTACAAGATTCACATCTATTCAATCCTTCAACTACAATTTCCTATTTTCTCACGAGATTTATTGATTTATGTGCGTCTTTGCTCATCAAAGCCATTACTAAAACTAAAGTATTTAACACCAATAGATAGAGAATTTTGTACTCTATGCTTCTACAACCTTTTCAAGGTTCTTGCTGTTGTTGCTCAGGAGAGAAAGACTTGAAACTGACACCTATGGATATTTTTGCGTCCACTGTCAAACACCATGTTTTCAACAGCTAAACTTACTCTATGCAAGATGTATTATTATGCCATTGGATGTAGAGTTTAATTCTGAACAAAATAGTGTAATTATTCAATTGAACAATGAAAATCTGTGTATTGTTGTGAGTTTAAAAAAATAACAATAGTATAGGTTTGTCAGAAACGTGTGTTTTTCTATGTCTTCATATATTTTTACTTCAAAACTATTTCTTCTAAAATTCTGAAACATACATCTAAAGATGCAGAATTTACAGAGAACTTCGTGGCATAGTTGAAGTTTCAGCAGAAGTTTTATTAAAAAAATTTCATCATTTTTTTTTGTTTTATTTTACCATCGTAGTTGGACGACTGCGTATGTGTTCATCTGTTAAATTTTGCATTGGCAAAGAAAACTTGTTTCAAAAAACAAAATTGACACTTTTGTAGAGCATGAAATTCTGTATCTTTTGGCATAAGGGAAAATTTTTTGATAATTAAGAAACGAGAGAAAAATGCACTAAGATTTACTGGAATTTTATCCTGGGACATCCGTTATCTATCACTGGAAAAGGAATTGTTCTCTCTCATCCATGGGAAGACATCTTGTATATACTGATCCTGATATATCAAAAAAGAAAATCTATTTTCCAATAAGAGAGTAAAATTCCAGGATAAAATTAATTATTGGAAAAATGGTAATTTTTTTCTGGAAAAAATTGGCTTCTGCATTGGGACGAGACGGTGTTGATGTGTGCATGTGTGTCTTCTCTTGATTCGCATGAACTAGCTCCTATATCCACATCTCTAAACAGAATTTTTTTTCAAAAATGGGGATGAGTGGGAGTATAGGTCATCTTTTGTCGAAAAAATATTTTTGCTAAAAAAATAAGTTATTTGGCTCAGTTTTTTGTGCTGATTCTGAATATGACATTTATTTTGCGTACAAATACAACTATAATGGTAAAAATCGCTAGATGCAGACAAAACTATTGTAAGATTTTGTTGGTAAAATCGAAATATGTCATTTCTCAACAACAAAACAATAGTTCGAAAAACCGACACATATGTTTGTTGTCTCTTCGAAGACAGTTCGCGTGACATATTAAACGTGATTTTCAATCTTGTCAAAAGAAAATTCGAGAGGTTTACAACCTACACTAGTGACATCTGCATATGGTGCTCTCTAGCTTCAATCTAATATTGACCATGTTGTGCTTGATCAGTACCCAAATCGAGTGTTCCTTCATACTCAGTTCCCCCGCTGAATAATAAAAAACAAGTTTCGAAATTGTTAGAACAGGATTAAAGAAACGAACCCTTATTTCTTCAAACTAAGCTGATGTCTTCAAAAAAGGAGTGCTTCTTTATTTTAATTTGTTTTTCTTGTATAAGGAAATCGAAAAAAGTTTTAAAAATATATTTTCTTATGCACTTTCATAAGCTTTATCCAACCATATAAAAAGCAAAGAAAAAAAAATATTTTGCTCAAATTTTGAACTTCACCCACATTGCACACATAAATATGAATAATATGGGCAAAAAAAAGGATGTGAATTCTTCAAAAATCACTCTATTTCGTTATCGAATAACTCCTCATGAAATTCTGCAATAGGTTCCACTATAAATGGAGGGAAACTTAGGGTGCCCACAAAATAGTCTTTATACTTCCCTGTCTTTTGTTTTTATGACAGTCTATAAATGCATACGACTTGACATTCTATAGAACTAATCGCTTTATTTGATAATAAAAATCACAGAATTATAAACTTGAACAAGATCAGATTGTAAGAAAAAAAAGTATTAGTATTATTATACAGAAAAACCAACAAAATATATAATCAATAGATTATTTTGAAACTTTATCGAACAACATATGCAGTGTTTTTTGTATATCGTTTATTGTATCGTTCATTTTTATGTTCATCTCAACAAATTTCTCTTCCATCTTATCCATTTTTACTTTCATCTCAACAAATTTCTCTGAAATTTCATATATTTGAGCATTTGTATGACGTTGTACAGAGATTACATCAATTTGATCAACACAATTATCAACTAATTGTTCTTCGTTTTGTTTAACTTCGTGAAGGGAATGTATCGCATGAAATAATCGTTGTTGTGCTTGAAGATACTGAATAGATGATTCGGATATATTTATCTTTTTCAAATACCAAACTTGAAATGCAAATTTAATAACATTTGCTGCATGCATTTTATGTTCTTTTGCCAATCCTACATTCAATACAAAATTATGTACATATTTTTCCCATCGATTCAACAAAAGTTTTTGTGTAAGAACAGCAATAAGAAGAGCACTTGCAAGGATGCCAAACAAACCAATTATAGCTGCAATAGCTAATAATGATAGAAAAAAGATGAAAATTTTATTTATACATGAAAACTGAAAGGATTTTTTTAGTGAATTATATTTTACTTACTTCGTCCACAATATGTAGATGGTACGAAATCTCCATAACCAATAGTAGTAAATGTTATAATGAAACACCACATGGCATTAAGCATTGACATATATTCATTGGTTGGTGTATAACAACATGCACGTAAACACCAACTTTCAACAAAGAAGACAATCATACAAAATGTCGTTAAACAACTAACTGGATATTGTTGAAGATAAACTTTAATGAGAAATAAGTAATTAATTGATATTTTATTAAGATAACCAATGGATCGTGTTGATATAACAAGAAATACTTTAGAATGAAATAGGGTGTGGGTGTGGGTGTGGGTATGCGTGGGGGTGTGGGTGTGGGTGTGGGTGTGGGTGTGGGTGTGGGTGTG